CCCGGGCTCCCCGGGAGCAGCGCGGGGGTCCTGCCCGGAGCCCCGCAGCCCCCCCAATCCCTGCCCGCGGGGCGGAGGAAGGCGGGCTCTGTGGGCGCCGGTCTCCCCAGGAGCTGTGTTAAAGAGAAACTTGGGGTTGGCCCACGCGGGGAGGCGCTGGGCCAGGGCCGGTCACCCGCCGCCTCCCGCCGGGCAGCCTGCTGCGGCCAGACACAGCCGAGCCTGAAGGAGCCAGCCGCAGGCCGGCGCCTGAGCCCGGCGGAGGTGGGGCCTGGCCGCGGCTCCTCCGGAAACGCGCCGTCTGCCCGCTGCCCGCTGACCGTGGGCGGACCGCCCCTGGCCCTCTCGGCAGTGTCCGGGGCCTGCAGGTGCAGCGACCCGAAGCCGTCGCCCGTAGCCGTCGCCAGGCCGCTCGCTGGGCCGGGCCTCGGGGTCACTTGCCCAGATGTGACACACGTCACGCTCCGCGGACCGGCCCCGAGGTGAATCAGTGACTGAGCGGTGGGCCGGAGCGCTGGGTCCACACGCCGGCCCCGGACACAGCGGGCAGCTTTGAGAACGAGGGCATCGGGCCGGCGCCCCGCGAGGCCGCCCTAGGGGTGCAGCCCCCCGCCTCCGTGAGGTACTCGCCCGCGCTCCCCATCCGAGTCTGAGGAGGCGCCTGATGGCCCTCCGGGGCCCTCCAGCCGGGCGCCCTCAGCGGTGAGGCTTCTCGGTTCTCCCTTCTCCCTGCTGAGCCCAGCGTGGAAAAGGCGCCACGTGCTTGCCGGGAGAGCGCAGCACCGAGGTGCAGGCGCCGTGGGGCAGCTGGGCGCGGGCCGCCCGGGGCCGCCCGGGGCCGCCCGCCCTGTGCGCTGGGCGCCGTGGAGCAGGCGCCTTCGTGTTTCAGACAAACTCACGATTCGCTCTGAGAGCCAAGGAGGGAAGCATTTGCGCCCCTGTGTGTGCTGGCGCGTACTCGGGAAAGGGTTTGTTTTATTTATGCACACAAGAGCTGGGGTGTAGGCCAGAGATGAGGGGGTGTAGGCCAGAGATGGCGGACAGAGTGGGGAGCAGAACAGGAGGACCCACTGACCCCACTGCTGAGGGCCGGGGGGCAGGAGGGTCTGCTGCGCCGGGGTCACCCCTGGCCGGGGCTGGGTCGGGCCTCGCTCGCGGCCGGGGCTGGCCCCCCGTGGCGGAGGCTCCGGCCGGCCGGCAGGAAGTCCCGAGTCTGCCCTCCTCCGAGGCCAGGCAGCGCGCGCTCGGGCCGGCGCCGTGGCGTCCTGCTTTGGGCTTGCGTCCTGTCACCAAGTAGCCGGGCAACTGCAGGGTAGTGAAGTCCGTCGGAGCAATCCGAAAACCGGTTCTACAGCAGAGAGAACGGAGCGCCAGGCCTGTGTGGGCTCGGGGCGGGCGCGGGGCGCCCCTGGTCCTGGCGCCTGGCCCTGGCGCCCGGCCCGCACTCCTTCTGCCCTTTGGCCCCGGCGCTGCCGCGAAGGGCCCTGGGCGGGCGCCGTGTCCGCCCCGGCATCGGGTCTCCTGCCTTTATTTTGAGCCGTTCTCCCGTGTGTTCCGTTTCAGAGCCATTCAGTACGCGTGCATGTTGCTTAGGTATTTGTTAGAGCCCCAGGCTGGCAGAGAGGAGGTGGTGACGAAGCTCAGGAGTCTGGAGGCCAGTGCCAGCAGTGGCCGCAAATGTAAGTACCTGTCTGGGGGCAGCGCAGGTCCTGTCTGGCCAGTAGCGCTGGCCGGTTCAGTCAGCGGCGGCTGCCCCTGGGGAGGAACCAGCGAGGTCACACGTCTGCACGGACACGGACTCCCCGGCGGAGTCCACACGGTGCCACGCCGCCCTCCTGGCCGCGCCGTGGCGCCTGAGCGCGCCGGCC